TGCTGTCTTCTGCCCACCATGAACTGTTCCTCCTCTGTGATGCCGCCCTGCTGTGCCGCCAGCTGAGTTTGGACTGAAATCTCTATCGTATGTGAGCTACGTACTCTTTCCTCTTTTAACTTTGGGTGTCAGCTATTTGTTCCCAGTAAAAAGAACACTATAACGGCGGTATATTTTTAAAGTATCTCTCTCTTTTTTGGTACCGGGAATTGAATTCATGACCTTGCGCTTGCCAGGCAGGTGCTTGTGCTGCTGAGCTGTATCCCTGGCCTGAAGTAGTCTCTCTTCTTACACTGATAGCAAGAAATAGAGGAAAACAGTACTGTATGGCAAAATCTGGTAGAAACAAACATTCTGGGTCTGTAAAATGCTATTATTCAGTTTATTACTTAAATTCAAAGTGGATAAGTATCATTGTATAATGTCACCGTGTAGGTTCTGGGGATCAGACCCAGGGCCCTGCACATGCTAAGCACATACTCTGCCATGAAGCCCCGTCTCCAGGCCCACTCTGAGTACTTCTATCCTGTACCTGATGGTTTGATTATATATATATATATATATATATATATATATATATATATATATATATATATCAGGGAGTGGTTGACTATAGCTAATTAACAAAAGCGTTACCAGAACATTGCTTTTGTTATGAGAACATACAACCCTCTACACTTTTCAAGAACCCAGTATATTGTCGTGAACTGCATCACCTTGTTGTGTGACGGAACTGTCATGAATTTTCTTTTGTAAGATCAGGTTGTGTTTGTCTTTCTGTACCTCGCTGATTTCACTCAATATCTCCCAGCTTTATTCACACTGTGAATGGCAGGACTTCATTTTTAAGATTGTATAGGATTCTATTGCATGTACACACCACATTTTCCTTACCCACTAATCTGTTGATGGACACAGGTTGATTCCACATCTTGGCAACTGTGAGCAATACGATAATGAATGTGCAGGGACAAATGTCTGACACACTGAAGTTCATTTCTTGCAGAAATAAACCCCACAGTGGAACTGCTAGACCACATAATAGCTCTGGTTTTCACTTTGTGAGGAATCTTCACACTGCTTTGCATAAAGATTGTGCTAATTTTCATTTTTTAAACCAGCAATGTGTAAGAGCTCCTTTTCCTTCACAACCTCACCAAAGTGTAATTCTTTTGGAAAATGGCAAAGCCAGTGCATTTTGAAGAAGATTCATGTGAAGTATTTGTAAAGTGTCTGAATATGGTTTTTTCCCCCCCGAGAAAGGGTCTGAAGTAGGTAAGAAATGTTGATCATTTGTCCCTCAGAAGAGATATTTGCATTTTTGGTTGTTTTTAAAACTTTTATTTGAATTTATTATGTACTCTGGAGGCTGAGACAAGAGAATTGCTAGGAATTTAATGCCAGCCTGGGCTACATACTGAGTTCAAGGCCAACCTGAACTACATAGTAAGAGCCTGTCTCCAAAACCCCCTAAATTTATTATGTATTCTTAAATTTTCTCTGGTTGCCACAAAATGACTCTCTAATTATGGCAGGCCTTGGGAATCTGTGTGGCTTCTCACCTTTCGGAGGAGGACTTCCATCCGTGAGGCGGCACGGACTGTCTACTCTTCCCCAAACTCTGCCTTGGAGCATCGCTGAAGGCAGTAACTGTCCTGGGAAGTAGTGTGCAGTGGCAGGGAAGGGGCACAAGAGGACAACTCTCGGAGTCAGGTGAACCTGGCTGGGAGTCCTGATCCACACCCGAATGGCTGTGCGGGGCGAGTGAGCCACTTCATCTCATTTAACCTTAGCTCTTTATCATGTCGCTGTGGCAGACAGAAGACGTGGCATGGATGCAACCTCAGCTCATGGCTTGGGGCACAGTGACCCAGAAGTGGGCAGACACGGCCAGCTCACTGAAGGCCGTCCCGTTAGAGAAACAGCGCAGCCCTGTGCTGTGTACGTTGTCATCTAGCTGGGAATTCGCAGACCATTAAACTGCAAACCATAAATTAGGGGACAGACCTAAGGCTTAATAGAGGAGCAGCAGGGATAGCATTTAACTTAAAATCAGTGGGAGAGATCTGAAAAGAAAGTCACACGGTGTGAACTGCTGAGGAAAGAGGATCTGTCACATGGCACAGCAACAGAGGGAGCTCAGTACCTGGTGTGCTTGGAGTCAAATTCCAGCTTGACTCTCTGCCAGCTGTGCTATCAGGCAGGTTGTACAACCTCTCAGAGTCTTAGTTTGTTTGTCTATAAAATGGGATGAATAAAAGCACCCAAAAAAATTGTCATGATGATTCCTCAAGCTAGTGTTCATAAAATGCTTAGAATAGTGGTTGGCAGGCAGCAAAAATTACAAAGTATCTGTCCAGGAAATAAATGTAACACCTTTCCTATTATTTTAAAACAAATTTACATTTAGAGTAAAAGTGAAATTAGAATTCCCCAGTACTTCTGGAGGACAATGTAGAGCATGAGAAAGTAATAGAAGAATTGGCCTGTGAGATTTTTCCCCCCTTTCTCCTGCTCACATGACAAGATGGACAAATAGTGAACAGAGCATGCTCTGAGGGTGGCAGCGAGCCTGACTTCACACACTGGCAGGCTCTTAAAACTGGAAACTTCATTTTGGGTGGGGCTGTCATGGGTTTGACTCGGGAGCGGATAGCCTTGGATGGTAGAGTGTCTCCCCACGCTGCGGCTGGCTTCGTGCTCTTTCCAAATTTGGATCAGTTGGGACTATTTTACCTTCACACTTTCCATGCTGTGAATTCTCTTAGCATGTCTTTGAAGTTTTCCACTAGTGTCTCTTCGTCTGAGACAGTTTCTTTCCTTATTTTATTTTAAAGAGAATGAAACAAAACAACATGGTGAGAATGACCTTGGAGTTGAAGAACAAGGCAGTAGGAAATCAGCAACATTCCTCTACTGCACACTGTTGTCCTGCAGATGATTTCTCAGACTACTAGGTACAGGCACGCAGAGTTAATCAGGCAGCATAAGCCCTAGGTTGTTTCTTTACTTCGTTTGCTATCATTTCGGAAATCTCACATGTGTGGTTTCTAATTTTTCTGTGTCTGTGTCTCCTGGACTTGTGCTGGGTGAAATACAGGCATGTAAAATTAATCAGTGTAAGTACTAAGTTATTTCCTTACTTCAGTTTCTATTATTTCAGAAATTTCAAGTGTGTGACTTCCAATTTCTTTTGGGTCTACATCTCCCGGACTTGTTTTGGGTGGGGCTCACCAGGGGACATGGCTTCCTCTCTGGTCCTGCAGGGGCTGGCTTGCCGGGGTGCGTGGCTTTCTCCCCCACAGGCAGGCTTTTTCCTCATTTTTAATGGATTCCTAGGTTCTCTCTCTCCACGGGCTTCAGTTCTCACTGCAGATCCTTCCTGGGCCCAGGGGACCCACTGCCCTCCTTTTTCTCTTCCTCATGTCTCTATATTCCAGTGTCTGGGCACCAAACCTTGGAGAGTCTCTTTCTCTGCTGTTCACCACCCCACCATCTTTCCAGAAGTCTCTCTGGAAGTTTTCAACCTGTTTGTAGACCTACTTTCCTCATTTTTTAAAATTTTTTTTGTTTTTTTTAAACCGGTACCAGGGATCGAACTCACGACCGCCTGCTTGCAAGGCAGGCGCTTATGCCGCTGAGCTAAATCCCCAGCCCCTACTTTCCTCATTTATGCCAAAAGTTTGTCGTATAGTTGCAAATCTTTGTGTAGCACTGACTATGGTTGAAAGCTATTTATTTAAAATGACTGAAATCTGTTACTCTGAAATTCTAGGATGAGGCCTAGTTTTACTCTTTAGGACTCAGCAGAGCAATCAAAAACCCTTTTCTGCATGATGCCTTTCAGATATTTCAAGGAGGCAGTTGTGTGCATCACGAGTCCTTGCTTCTCCCCACTGAACATCCAACCTTAATGGACAAGCAGTCCCCACAGTCCTGGTAACATAATTTTTATTTTCATGTCACCAGCAGATTCCTTGTCCATGGTCTGTTTTCCCCTTGGGACTGCTACATAAACCATCAGGCAAATCAGGAAAATCTGAGCCCTGCTCTCTTTAGCTGATTCAAGAATAGCAGTTTTGTAATTTTCTTAGGATGGCAGCTTCTGTCTCTCCTCCATCTGGCCAGGCATGATGGGGTTCCTTTGGAAATGACCCAGAAAATGTTTTAAGGCCTCAAACGAAATTTAAAAAGACTAGAATTCAAGTGAATACATTTACAAGACCCAATTTGAACCATCTGAGCATCTTTAACCAGTGCTCTGGCTTCAGGAATAGTTCTTGGATCTTTAGGGCTTCATGTTGGAGTCTTGCAGAAAGAGTTATTAAACTTCACATAGTGTTTGTTTTTATTTAATGTTGCTATTTAGGTTTCTAAGGCCATAAACAACAACTGCGTGCTTTCTCTTCTTATCTTGGCAAGTGATGCCAGGTGTCGTGAGTATCTAGGGTACTGTGAACTCCGGGAAAGGCAAACACGCAAACACGCCTGATCGGGACACGGGGGGTGCAGCGCTCGGAAAGGAAGACAGGAGAGACACGGCACCTTTGCTGTCTGCACCGCGTTACACTGCACTGCACGCACAATCTTTATTTTAAGATTCATATATAGTAAACCGGATCAGTTCACAGAGCCCAGACAATTTAGTGAAAAGGCATTCTTTGTGACAAGCTACAACGTGACAGACTACAATGTTTATTCTAAACTATCTAAGTGAAGTAAGTAATCACAAACAGTTCTCCTAACTTCTCTAGCCCAGGAAGAAATTCATTAGCTCAAGAATGTTGTTAATTTGTCTGCTGTTAGTGTCACAAAGGGTGGCCAGCCACTTCCTCAAGACTTCTGCAAAACAAAGCCAGCTCACAGTATGGTTTCCAGAGGGTGAGGGATCTCACTGAGAACAGGCATTCCTGTCCTACCTCTGTCTGGCATACCGGGGGCTATTGTATATTGCAGGTTAGAGGGTTGGGGCCTACAAAGTGACACCTCATCCCCCACAGCCAGGGACATAGTGGAGACTGGAAGCAGGGACCAGACTGTGGAGTACACACAGAGAGCCAAGTATCAGACCTGGGGAGGTGTGGGATCCTCAGGTAAGCTGGCTGTATGTTGGAATACCCTAGGGAATTTGGGACATTATCACACATGGCCTGGTCACCTCCTGTGCCTCTGTGCAGGAAGTTTTCACTCTGGAGGAGGGAGGGTGGCCGGGGAGGCCCTTGGACTTGACTTTTTGCTGTCGTTTGTTGCTTAGGTGGCTATCATGCAGTGCCTGTCCTTCAGCGGATCCTGTTTTCCCAACTGTGCTCCCCACCACCTGCTGCACTGCTCTCCGCAGAGGACCTGTGAGTGCTCAGGCTTCCCCTGTGGAAGTCTTTACAAATCCTCACATGTGAGTTGCTGTGACGCTGGAGTGGAGTGGTGGTACTTTCCCCTGCCTGCCTTTCTGCATGTCAGTGCTATCTCCTATCCACAGCTCCAGTCTGCCTCTCCCATCTCTACCCTCTTCGCATGCATCTCTATGGTCAGGCCGAAAACTACACAAATGAAATTCAGCAGAGTTTATTTGAGTGAAAATCGATGCTTGGTTTTGGCAGCCTGCAGAACCAGAAGGAATTCAGAGTGCTCAAGCCAGCTATTGGGCCTCTGGTATTTATAGACAGAATAGGGAAGTGACGTGTGGAAAGACTTCTCCACCTGATGGCTTCCTGGGAGTTTTAGGAAGTCTATCTTCCATCTCCACGCAGGGCTTTCTATCCAGACTCAGATGCTTGGGGTTTCCCAGCTCCGCCCCAAAGGTGGACCCAGCCTGTCCTCTGCCTGGTCCAGGAGTGCTGGCAAACTCTATACACTGACTTCGTTACACTAGAAAATCAGATTAGAAAAGGCCCTGCTGTGGCAGTTCCTGGGAAGAAGTGATATTTTATCTTTAGTTCTGTAGTCTAGTTCACTGTAAGCTGATTTCACCAAACAGCTTCCGATCCAAGCTATAATAAATGATACAGGCTCCTGAGACAGAGGCTTCAGCCTTGACTCAAACATTGCCAACTTGTCAATGTTTTCTGTGTGCCCCTCCTGTTTTTTCAGGACTTTGATTTGATGAAGGGCTCTGCTAGGGCCAATTAAAAAATCAGTGACTTTTTAATTGCAGCATAAATCAGAGCTGGCTGATGCCCGGCCCCTCTCCTTGGCCATTCTCCTTACTTTTGCTTATTCCTGTTGAAGCAGATTGAAGAGAGGAGGCTGGAGAGGCTGAAGGGGAAGGTTCTAGAATGCTGATTTCGTCTGAGAAGAAGAGGAAAGACACATGGAGAAGGCAGTGCCCTGCTGCAAGCTGCCCCGTGCCGTGTGGAACAGCGGCTCCCAGGCTGTGCCTGCCCCCGAGAGACCTCATCTTAAAGAGCAGCAGATTCTCCATTCTGAGCACAAAGCTGAGGCAGAGGGCCTTGTCTTGTCTGTGCACATGGCACCACCAGATGCTGGGCACGGCAAGGGCTGAAAAACAACTCAGCCCCACAGTGCAATCCACAGGCATGAACTGCTAAGTGAATCTTGCTAAGAAAAACACACCACCTGTGGTTTACCAGGTTAGATAGGTACGGGATGCATCTAAGCTTCAGCAAGGAAACCCAGGCCTGTGAGCTTAGTGGAGGCTCTGGGCCAACACATGGTGCAGCCTTGTGTCTGGGTCACACGAGGTGGGATGCCAGGGCCGGTGTGTGGGATGTCACCAGCCTGCTGTCTCTTGGGACCACCTGGGGATGGGGATGCATCATGAGGTCCCCAGGCCACCAACTCCAGCTCCGTCCCCTGGTATTTATTTATTTATTTATTTATTGTTACCCAGACTGTCCTCAAACTCACACAGGTCCTCCTGCCTAGGGCTCTCAAGCACTGGGATCACAGGCCTGTGTCACCACACTGACCCCTGACTTTACCTCAGCTCAGTCTCCCTGCTTGACTCTGTCCACTTGAACCAGCTGCAGACCTGAGGGCAATGTGGAGGCCTGGAGCTCGCAGTCCAGGGGAGGTCAGTGCCTGTCTCCTAGAAGCAGAAACCCAGTCGTGCGTGTTATAGAGCAAAGTGTGGAAAGAAGACAGATCACGAACGGACTATGCGTTTGAGGAAACACATCTTTCATTTTCATTCTTGTACTAGGTTTTGAGAAAAGTCAGGATGGGTTGGTCCTTTTGTTTATACCATTATTTCTTTCTTGAAGGATCATTCTGTTTTATGTATGTGGTCAAAATTTAAAGACAGGTTTTCATTTGTAATCCTTGAGGACGTCCTGAGCTATTTTCCTGGCCTGGTATTAAATCCATCGCAGATGGGACTTCAAAGAGTCATTTGCTCAAAATTTTGGAAATAACACAGCGTGAATTACTATGCCAAAAAATTCTGTTGAGCTCTGATTCTCTTTGAATATTTTATAAATGGTTAGCACGGCTTCCTTTCCCTGCTGTGCCTCTGGACCGGTTCCCTTTAGGAAAGAAGGAAGGGGAACAGGAGCACAAATCCTTCTGCAGCAAGGAGCAGAGTGCCCCATACACATGGCCTCTGTGAACATTAGAAAAAGCCCCGGAGACTGCAGAGCCCAGGCCAGTTCTGTGAGTCACTGTAGACCCTGCGTAAAGCCCTCAAGGCCCTCCCTGGTTTCTTTGTTCTAGGGTCATGAACTGTACATATTTTCCCTGGTGACTTACTCCTTTGTGTTTCCTTGAGAGCCACAAGAGTGCCTAAATTAGCCCGGGTCCATCCTATCTTCCTCCTCCTCTTTCATAAAATAGATACAGCCAATTAGTTTCCATTTTATTAATAATGCTTGACACATGTACCATTTTCTGACCAATTACCTTTCATAACTTAATTTTCATCAGAGATATTTTGTTTTTTGGTTTTTCTTGAGACAGGGTCTTGCTATGTAGTTCAGGCTGGACTTGAACTCACTAGGTACCCCAAGGAGGTCTTGATCTCATGGGGTCCTCCTGCCTCAGCCTCCCAAGTGCTGGGATTACAGGCATGCACCACCACATCTGGCTGAAATATAAAGTTTTAGACTGAAAATGTTGTAACAAAAAGCAATGTCTTTGTAGCATTCCTCCACCATGATCCTTATCCCCAGAAGAAACATTTATTTGCTCCAAGTTTCTAAATAACCTGTTCATTCCCAGTGTGCTTGTTTTGATTTTGCATATTTCAAATTATTTCCTACAATGTAGCCATTCTATGCTTCTAACAGCTTCTCTCCCAACTCAGTTTTCCACCTTGCACTGTTCCAGTATAGTTATGATTCTCTTTTCTTACATAAACACAATTTACATCATTATGCCTATGTAAGTGTTAGGGTTGTGTCCCCCAAAGCCTCGTGAGCTTAGAAGTGGGACTTTTTGGGAATGCTTAGGTCACTGATGTGATAGTGCTTTGGTGCACTGACTGGTTTAGCATAAGTTGAAAGGACTTTGCCCTAGATAGGACACTACAGCAGTGAGAGGCAGGACCAAGGGACGTTTACCTTGAGGTCATGTTCCCCACCCCTAGGCAATTTACCTGTGGCATGAAATGAATTCCAATTGGCTGCCTGGGCATCATCGATGCCCTTTACGTACCACCCCAGACCAAAGCTATATGTATGCCCCCTCACCATGTGTCCGGCAGAGAAAGCCAGACCCCCATGGTCATGGGATTCGCTCCAAGTTTTTAGAATAAAGGCCACTTTGCTTTATATTTTCTGTCTTCTAATTTCACCAAAAATCCTATCAGTTGGTTCCCTGACTGGGAACAGCAACTTGAGTGACTCCTGGAGTCCTCCCAGTTTTAGTCCCCGGCCGATTCACGGACTGAACAGAATCCTGGATTAATTCCTCATTTGTCAGCACGCGGGACCTGTTCAACTTGTCGAAGCTGGTCTGCAAACAACACCAGCCTAATTCATTTACCGCAGGTGAGCCAAACCCGGACTGAGGGTTACTCTGTGATTGTGGGCTGGGGCCCACGCGGATCTTCCTTTTCCTTCCCTGGCAGTTCTCACCTTCCTCGGGCAGTCCGAGGCAGGGCCGTTACTGTAGTCCGCCGGAACCCCATCCATGCCTTTTGGTAATGGCTAAAAGGCAAGAGCTGGAACTGATTAACGGTATGTCCAAAAGATTAGGTGACAACCTGCTTCTGGATTTGCCACAGTCCAGTTTGGCTCATTTTAATTTAATTGGATCATGGGAAATACTTTTTCCTCACCCCAAGAAAACACACCTTTGGGGTGCCTCTTTCGTAAACTTGGTACCCTTGGCCTAAAGAAAACCATAAGAATTAAACAATTAACCTTTTACTGCTAGGAGGCTTGGCTGACCTATGAACTAAACGGCAGCCTGTGACCTAAAGAAGGGATGTTTGACCCCTGTATTCTCAAAAATTTATGTGACTTTTGTTACACTGGTGATAAGTTAGCAGAAATTCCATGTGTACTGGTCTTCCTTACCCTAAGAATGTGCTCTTCTCTCATTAAATCATGTACACCTGCTCAAATATTTTTAGCTAGTTCTACTGCACCACAAACTTTCCCCTCCTGCCCCCAAGACCCCTTAGACGATGTGTCCCCTTCTTTAACCCACCCTCTCCCTATCCCCGAGATCAAACCCCACAGCCTTCTCAATCAAAGATTTCTGCTCCCATGGATTATGATTTACGTTTTAAGGATATTTATGTGATTCTGAACTCCACCCTCAGCTCACAAGAGCGAGCTCAGCTGTGGCAAGCAGCTCGAGAAGAAGCCAATCACAGACATAAGGCAAGCACTGCTGAAAATGATCCTGGGCCTACTGTGGTGCCTGAACAGGATCCTAACCGGAATTACCAAAATGGAGAAGGTTCTCAAAAGATGCATAAGATGACTGAATCTCTAATTGTGGGCCTTAATAAAATTGCTTACAAATATACTAACTATAACAAACTTTTAGAACAGGTCCAGGAGGCTAATGAAAATCCAGCTGTGTTCCTGAATCAGCTTAGGGACACCTTAATTAAGTTTACTAATGTAAACCCAGACTCTCCTGAAGGGATGATTGTTGTTAACTCTTATTTTATTTCTTAGTCTGCTCCTGATATTCATGCAAAGTTACAAAAGGCTGAACATGGCCCTGATACCCCACAAGGATACCTCCTTAATTTAGCTTTCTATGTCTCCAACAATGGAGAAAAAACTCAAAAAGAGAAGAAAGAGGCTCAAAAGAAAAGTATTGCTAAATATCAATCTGATCTCTTAGCAGTGGCACTTGGGGCTCCCAAGACAGGAAAGCCAAAACAAGGTGGAGCTGCCAGAGCCCCTCCTGGACTATGCTTCAAATGCAACAAAGAAGGACATTGGGCAAGAGAGTATCCCAATACTGGCATTCCTTTGGGCCTTCCCCCTATTGCAACTTCAAGGGCCCTGGAAGAGTGACTGTCCTAACGGCCAGAGGGAAGGTAAGCTATGCTCTAACTTCTCGCCCTCACAGTAAATGCCATCACCGCAGGATTCATTGTTGACTGATCTTCTAAGACTTGATGCTGAAGATTGACGGGGCTTGGGGCACACAGCCCTCATTAAGGTATGCTTCTCGGAGCCCTGAATCTTGCTGGAGGTCTCAGGTAAAACACTATCTGTACTTGTGGACACGGGGACAACTTATAGCATACTTTCTGAGTTTTCAGGCCCTTGTATTAAGTCCTCAATCTCTGTCGTGGGTGTTGATGGCCAGCCTACACAGCCTTTGCAGACTGGGCCTGTCCCATGCAGGTTCCGGACTATTTTCTTTACCCATAGCTTCCTAGTAACTCCAACATGCCCCACACCCCTTTTACATAGAGACCTCCTTCAAAAGCTTAACTTCTCCTTTGCTTTACCTTTACTTTTCTCTCATTGCTGAGACAAAAGACCTGACTCCCAAAATGAAGGAAGGAAAGGTTTTTTAGCTTACAGTTTTTAGAGGTTTCAACCCATAATCAGCTGGCTGCAAGGCAAGGTAGCATGGCACTGGGACAACACTTCAAGGGCCAGAGCAAAATATGGGGAAACTAGGCTCTTTTCCTTCTAGGGGGGATGTACACTCACAAAATCTCTGTGCTCTCATCTTGCACAGGATGAGGATTTTTTACAAAGTAACAGCCCTGGCTCCCTGCTGAGTCTCTCAATTAAACTTCTAAACCTCTCAAGTTGACACAGTGTATCAACTGTAACATAATTCTGGGTATGGATGATGGACTTGCTGAAGAGGGAAGACCCAGCCTGACTCAGAGCCTGGATGGAGTAAAAATGGAAAGAAGGAAGTCTCAAGGCTTCTGGCCTGCCATGCCATGAGCTCTTTGTCCTGTGCCAGGCCCCTCTGCCATGCCACTCTGCCTTGGAGTCAGCCACTGTGAGCTGAAATCTCTACAAACTGGGAGCCAAAATAAACTTCTCCTCCTTTAATTTGTAGGGGATGGGTATTATGTAACAGAGACAAGAAAGTAATCAAGACAGTGAGCATATTTGACCTGGCCTGCGGGTCAATCCAGATCCATGGGGCAGTTTCCTGGAGAAGGAACAGGGATTAACACAGACAGGGCTGGAGACAGAGAGATGGAGACAAGTTGAGAGAATCTGATCAAGCCTCATTTATTAATAAAGTGATTGCTGCTTTTATAGGGCAGGGGCGGGCCGGTGGGACAGGAAGAGGCTGTGGGGTGATCTCGATGGGTCATCGTCACATCCGTGTACATGACGTAAGTAGGAGAGGATTATGTTAATGTAGGCAGGTGCATTATGTGCCCATAGGAGGGAGAGGCGGGGAGACAGCAGTGGGGTGGTCGCGCCACTCCCTACACATATTCACAAGTGAACCATTTATTGTACTATGATTATATTTTCTTTCTTGAACAGTTTCTCCCAAATTAATTATTGAATTTTTCTTTTCTTGTTATTTTTCTTACTCAGGCTTTGTTTATGATTCTTGATAGCTGGATAAATTTCTTCTTGTTTTGCATATGTATCAGATACGTTTTTTTCTCTCTCTCTTCTGTGCTCATGTTCTTTCTGTAAACTCTACTCCTTCGATCCCCTATCTTCTGTTTCATCTGGGATTGGTTGGTTTCTAGCTCTCATGCCCAGTTCTCACCCTGGAATTTCCTCAAGTTGGATTTTTTTCCCTAGACCTTGCATTGTTTATAGTTCACTATAAACAATGATTTCTGATTATCTCTGATTGAGTATTTTTGACACTCAGTCTGAGGCAGCACAGAGAAAATGAGAGAGAAGACAAAGATTAGGAGCAGACTTTAATGTGGGCACAGGAGAGACTGCAGAAAAGAGGGATGCAGGGGCACTAATGAGAACAAAGAAGTGGAAATATTTATCAGTTCTGGCTGGGGGAGGGGTTTGGAGGTGGGCAAAATGACACCAACAGCTGATTTGAAGGAGCATCTGCCTGTTCAAAGCAAGAAACAGAAAGGCTTCCTGGGAGCTGGGGTGGGGGCTTGGGTGGTTGTAGAGTCTTGGGGTTGGAGAGGGCTTAGTCATGTGCAAAAAGGGACTGGGATGTTTATCTCTGGAATGAGAAGGAGAACATAAGAGTTACTCTTGGAAGATAAATTGCTCCTCTGGGCGCAGTACCAAGTTGGACAGATGTCATGTTAGAGATAGCTGAGCCCCAGGCTAGCAGAATCTATCATTCCCATCTTTTTGATTTCTGGGTGAACAGGGGTGGTGTTCACTGCTTCCTGCTGGAGAGGGACATCGTGGTGGGGCTGTTGCACTTGGTGGGATGATGGGTTAGGCCCATACAGAAGCTGGTGCCAGGGGTCTCAGCCAGGACAAGGAGCTCTCTGATAGCTGTATCCTGGATTGAAGAAATCTTGGGGGAAAAAAGTTTTAAAAGACAGAGAGTAAAAATGTAGTGAGTAGTATGAGAGGTCCTATAAAGGGGAAGAGACAGGGGGATTGGAAGACTGGATGAAAATCTTGTCAGTGATATTAATGTGGCTGGAGAGTCTTGAATGTTTGCTTAAGGAGAAAAATGGGGAGCTGTGGTGTGGGGGTTCAGGCACGAACATCAGCAAGAGTACTTCGGCGTGGGGCTCTAACGGACATCGAGTGAAATATCATACCTGATGAGGGGCCCACTCTGTCATAAAAGGCATAGAAAAGCTTTTTTTTTTTGTACC